ATAATATACCAGGGATCCTTCCTCAAGGGGACACGGCCTCCCCTTCATTCCTGGGGTTTGGGTCTATAAACTGTCTCAGTCTGAGAATTTATTGAGGGGCTGTAACTCTGTTTTGTTGTTTTAGTTAGACTTTTGTTCACCTGACCTCAAACCTTTCTGCTTATATAAACAAAGAATTTAGTCCCCCATCTGCTTTGCTGCTAGGAACACCATGATTATTAGCAGTCAATGCCCTAGGCTCTTCACCATCCTTCTGATAATCCAAAGTGTGAGGAGGAGTATGTCAAAATTAAAAGTCAAATTTCAGTAATCCAGGGCCAGAGAGATCCCCAAGAAAACATATAGAAAGTGAATGCACTACAACCTGAATTTCAGGCAAGAATTCCACTTTAGCTTAGTGATGGGAACTGTTTAGTACCAAAACTTGACCAATTCTGGTGGATTTCACCCAGGCAGAGGCAAAGGAGGGAGCATTTACTCCCTACAGGTATTTCTTTCTCTCTTTGAAGGAAAAGGCAAGAAGAAGAAAGAAGAGTAAAGGAGGGAGGCTAAGAAGAAAGCAAGAGTAAAGGAGGGAGGCTATAGCCAGAAGCAAAGCCCAAAATAATAAACTTGAGGGTAAAGGAAGCACCTGATGGTCACGTTCTCTGTAACTGTACTGTTTCCTTGCAGGGTGGGGAGTGCAAAGTAATGGAAAACACAGGAGTCAAACGGATTGCTGATCTTTACAGTTCAGATCATTTTTCTGAACTTTCCACCTGGTTTCTTTCGGTTTTTCTTTCTGTTCCTCCTTCCACCTTTCCCTCTCTTTCCACTCTCCCTCCACCCCCCCCCTTTTTGCATATGAACCCAAGTTCTCTGCTTGGTTGGAAACACTGTTGTTGACTTGCTTCATTCTCTAGAGGATTGAAAGTCTCACTGTGAGAACATGATCTTTTCATTTATGACTGAAGTACTCCACTCTGCTCCTACTCCTTTTAGGGAAAGGAAATTGTTCCTAGTTATTTTGGTCTAAAGTTTCACAGACCTCATAAACCATAAAGCAAATTGGATTTCTGGGAAACTCCATTCCAGTTAATAATTCCAAATCTATTTTATGGTAAGGTATGCCTCTCTAAAGGTTACATTCTTATGTAAGAAATAGATTTTATTACAACGAAACCCTTATCGCATTTCCAGATTTGTGGCAGCAGCAGGTGCAGAGGAATTCCTGGGTCAGCAAAAAGAGCAAGAAAACCTCTGAGAGCCAGTTAAGATCTTCCACTTCTAGTCATATGCAGAGTAACCCGTGTAGCAAAAATAAACCTTGAATTCCCAACAAGCCCACAGTCAATGACAGCTGTCAATGAGAGCTTCTGGTTCAAACAAGTATGTTCCCACTATTCTATTACTGAAACAAGTAAATCCAGAAACCCATTCCTCAGTGCCACTCTTCCCCACACATGCCACTATTTTTTCTTTTCTTTTTTTTTTACTTTTTGCTTTATTTATTTATTTTAAAATATTTATTTTTTACATCATTGTTCATTTTTAAACAATATTTGCTTCCCCCCACCCCCTCAGGTGTAGTCCCCATAGAGTTTCTTCCCCAATGCACCCGTGCACCTTCACCTCAGTCCCCTGTGCTCCTCCCTCCCTCCCTCTGATCTCTCTCCGGCCTCCTCCCCTGCAGTATGTCTCTGATTTATAATTGTCTGTTTTTGCTTTCTTGTGTTTTGTACTGTTATTATTTTTTTACACTGATGTCTTATTCATTTCCCCTATATTCCTCCTATATGTGAAACCATCCGATATTTTTCTTTTTCCTTCTGATTTATTTCACTGAGCATAATTCCTTCTAGCTCCTTCAACTACCACTTTAAAAGTAAAAAAGAAATGTAGAGGTTCATAAGGAGAAAAGTGAATGTGGAAAGTAAATATAAAATGATTATTATATATATATAAAATGATTATTATATATATTATATATATTATATATATAAATATAAAATGATTATTACAATGCCTTGTAATGCTCTTTTCTAAGCCAGTGACCTTCTTTTTTACTGAAATGAACAGTTAGAACATTATACACCATGCCCTAGCATCTGCATGCTGAGATATAGCTGTGTAAGTATGGATATAAGATAAATATTATTAAGTTTTACAGAACACTAGATGATGCATCAAGATTTTTCTTTTGTTTGGTCTTCCTTTTATAAATTGTTGGTCATGACTCACTAAACTGATCAACCTACACTTTAAAAACACTGCTTTATGGGCAATATTAGCCTATAGTTTATAAATGTTTATTCCAGTAAATAACCCAAAATTAATTTTATTAATTTTTATTTTTTAACACCAGATTTCATATTCAAAGGATCTACTCTTGGGATGTTCTTTGGGGTGTCTTCTCCATTTTTGCCCCATGGTCCAGAAGTCACTGCAGATATCACTGTATATTAAAATCGGAATCACAGCCCTTCCTTCATTGTTTCTAACATCAGCCCGAGATTCTGAGCTTCTTCTCCGCCCCCTGACACATTTCTTAAGTTAAAATCTCTGTAAGAAATGGATGGCAATGTATCCAGCTTGGTTACCACTTGAGTGATGTCTGCAGAGACTCTCACTGGGCTGGAAAAGGCTCACAGTGATGGGAAAACAGTTCCTTATGACAGTTCATAAAATGAGCTACAACACAGTGGTGAAAAAAAGAATGATGACAATCTGTGTGCTGGGAACCAGTATCTGAGGTATATTCTTTAGCTGAAAAGAGTAAGATAAGGGCCTCCCTAGTGGCGCAAGGGGTTAAACAGCACTATGAAGCTATCCGCAGCCTCTGCAGCACGAGTTCCATCCCTGTCCAGCCAGGGAGCAACCCACATAGCGCAGCAAACCTCTCCTGACTCACCTGCTGCTCCCCTCAGCAGTGTATTTCAGTCAATCTGCCTATTCTGTTCCCCACTCTGTGTCTGGTGAATCCTCTCACCCCCCACATCTCTGGCCTGAACCCCTGCTCTTTATGCATAAATAAATAAATATTTTAAAAAAATGTGAGGGAGAGAATAAGTACTTGCAAACTCATTAGAATGAATGGTATTTTTCCTTGTGAAGAGTCATATAAATATTTATTATAACATCAAGAATCATTATCTTTCATTTACATATCTTATACATTTTATAGTTTTACATCCGTTGCCTGAGAACTCACAATAACCTTTTAAAATAGGAGAGAAAGTTCTAGTTACAAATTAAAAAAACACACACAAAAAAATTCAAAGCCTAATGGAGTTAAAAATCTAGACCATATTTTAAGGAAGGAAGTTTAGAGTCCTTTGCATGATTTTGATACAGTAAGAACTTAAAATTGTTATAGAATTATGACTTGCCAAGCAGTTCATGAATACAGTGTTTTTAAAACTTTCAGCAATACCACTTTTAGTGTTGATAACTAAAAAGCTTGCATAAAAGAGGAAAGAGGCAGGAAAAAAAAACCTACTGAAACTCTTTGTGTAAAATATGCCTAATAATTAGAATATAAATTATCAACTAGTGACTGTTTGAAAATTAAAGATTTTGCATTCATAATCACTATAGATTTTTACCCTTGAATTAGAAAAAAAAGTTAAATAATGGCCTGAATTGAGAAAGATGGAAATTGCCAATCATCACTACTAAATCTAGAAAAATACCCTAAAGTTTTATGATTATGGTACCTCCTGGTTTCACTGGAAAATCCCAGGTTACACCTCCTGTCCTGTCATATTATCCATAGCACCTCTTTCACTCACAAAAGTATCCTAGTTTGGATAATAACTCTTATGTGGATATTAAATATCCACCCCATTAAATAACCCTCTTGTCTCAAACATCTTTAATATCTTCATGTTCTAGGGTTTGTGCTTCATCTTGAGATGAAGCAAAAACTGGATGATCTATGTTATGTATGCTAAAGACTTCTGCTGTCCATAAGAAGTTTTCCAAAGCATTATTTACCAGCAACTTTTGGCTTTTTAAAAAAGATTCATTGTGGGGTTGGAATCTCTTGAAAGTTTTGGCATGTGGGGCTTAAAAAGGGAAATGCGAACCAAGTTTGACTTGGTGAGACTAATGTAGAAGAAAAATAAGTGAGGCCACTTAACAAAGTTCTTCCCTTAGAGTTTAAAAAGTGAACCACTCCCTAAGAGTCATTCATTCATCACACATGTATTTATTAATATCTCAAGAGTGGTGACTGGAGGCAAGACTGTTCTAAGCACTGAATCAGTTTTGTCATTAGTTTTATGGACTTCATTTTTATTGTTTTTATTTCCAGTAGTTTGCAGAAATGTAACATCAGATGTTTTTATTTAAACCGTCCTCTGAGGTCTTTCCTGGCTAGCACGCCTTAAAATTTCCATAATTTGTAATTGTTCTATTCAATAATTACATAGATGATTGCCTAGGTTCAGGTAGGTTAAATAGTTGCTGTGATTTGTTGCATATTATTCATTTCATTTGCTTCTTCCTTAAAACAAGCAAATGAATCAGTAGCCAAGCTAGATATCATGCTAACAGCATCTTTTACTGAGCAAGCAAGCACACCATCTATGGCAAAAACATCTATCACTGAGGGATTGGGGAGACACCATGGCAGTTTATGAGATGTGTTTACTTGCTACATTCTCTAAAGCACTCTGCATTTAAATTGAAGTTGTCATGTGGTACAAGATGACCTGAGGTTTCTGTGTAGAGTATTAAAGAATATTTTCATTGTTCTTTTATGCTTAGATTTACACTTCTAACAAAATATTTCAGAATATATTTTATTATGTATGTGCCAAAGTCCATGCACTCAGATTCTCTCTCTGATGGAGTTAGGACTTTGTTCGAAATCTGACTGTTTGAATTCCCCAAATTGCTTCTGTGGATGTTTGCATATATCTTTTGCTTATTTCTCTCCTCTGCTTTCACGGAAATCTTTATTTCCTACCAATTACTCACCAAAATTTCACAAAGGAAATCTGCAGGCTTTCATCGGTCTAATCATCACTGGTTGAGTGATGACTATCACTGCCTTCACTATCACTGCTGTCACTTCCATTGCTCTTTCCATTGCCAGACTTGCTCTTATTGGCACTGCCATCACTGCTGTCAGATGCATTGTTACTGCTTTCATTACTGTCGCTGCTGTCACTACTGTCACTGCTATCACTGCTGTCACTGCTGTCACTACTGTCACTACTGTCACTGCTATCACTACTGTCACTACTATCACTGCTGTCACTACTGTCACTGCTATCACTGCTGTCACTGCTATCACTGCTGTCACTACTGTCACTACTATCACTGCTGTCACTACTGTCACTGCTATCACTGCTGTCACTGCTGTCACTGCTGTCACTACTGTCACTACTATCACTGCTGTCACTACTGTCACTGCTATCACTGCTGTCACTGCTGTCACTACTGTCACTGCTGTTACTGCTATCACTGCTGTCACTGCTATCACTGCTGTTGCTGCTATCACTGCTGTCACTGCTGTCACTACTGTCTGATTTGCTGTCACTACTGTCACTGCTATCACTGCTGTCACTACTGTCACTGCTGTCACTGCTATCACTGCTGTTACTGCTATCACTGCTGTCACTACTATCACTGCTGTTACTGCTATCACTGCTGTCACTGCTGTCTGATTTGCTGTCACTGCTGTCATTACTGTCACTGCTATCACTGCTGTCTGATTTGCTGTCACTGCTGTCACTACTATCACTGCTATCTGATTTGCTGTTACTGTTGTCACTACTATCACTGCTGTCTGACTTGCTGTCGCTACTGTCACTGCTGTCACTGCTATCACTGCTGTCTGACTTGCTGTCACTGCTATCACTACTGTCTGATTTGCTGTCACTACTATCACTGCTGTCACTGCTGTCTGATTTACTGTCACTGCTATCACTACTATCACTGCTATCACTGCTGTCACTGCTGTCACTGCTATCACTGCTGTCACTACTATCACTACTATCACTGCTATCACTGCTGTCACTGCTATCACTGCTATCACTGCTGTCACTGCTGTCACTGCTATCACTGCTGTCTGATTTGCTGTCACTGCTGTCACTACTATCACTGCTATCACTGCTGTCACTACTGTCACTACTGTCACTGCTGTCACTGCTGTCACTGCTGTCTGATTTGCTGTCACTGCTATCACTACTATCACTGCTATCACTGCTGTCACTACTGTCACTGCTGTCACTGCTATCACTGCTGTCTGATTTGCTGTCACTGCTGTCTGATTTGCTGTCACTGCTGTCACTACTATCACTGCTATCACTACTGTCACTACTGTCACTGCTATCACTGCTGTCACTGCTGTCACTGCTATCACTGCTGTCACTACTGTCACTGCTGTCACTGCTGTCACTGCTGTCACTGTCTGATTTATCTTTGCTGCTATCTGATTTGCCATTGTCATGGCTCCCATTGTTATCATTGATATTACTGTCACTATCACTAGCATCTGATGTGCTTTCATTGTCATCATCATCTCCTCCTTTTGAGTCACTATCATTGCCATTATCTTTTGATTCATCAGAGTTATAAGAAGCATCTCCTCTGCTACTGCTGTCACTGTCACTTTCAGAAGGGACATCATCATGGCCATTAGACTCATCACTGCTATTGGGATCATCTCCTTGCATGGATTCATCATCAAATTCATAACTGTCATATCCATTACTACTACTGGCACTACCTGCTTTGCTGTGTCCTGCCATGTTTCCAGGTTCTGTTTTCTGACCAGGTCCTTGCATGTTGTCAGCCTCTCCTTGCGTCTTAACATTTCCTTTGCCAGCAGTCAGTCCAAGCTGTCCTTTACTCTCCTCATCTACGTTGACTTTCCCAGCTTCTTTGGTAATATTGTTTCTGTTGCCACTGCTGGGATCTTTGATTTCTATTCCCTAGGGAGGAATAGAAAAAAGAATGATTAGTCAGTAATTGTAATGCGGCAAAATTGCATTGGTCTTCAGAAGACTGACTGGGAAAGTAACCAAGAAATAAATCAGTTTCAGTCCCTCAGAAATATCTGTGAAAGTGTGATTTCTTCAGTACTTAAAAGGACTCTAAGGTTTAGATTGTATAACAATACATTCACATTTTTAACCAATAGGAATTTTTGTAAACAGTCATATGTCATATCAGTTATTTAACATAAAATTTTTCTAGAATTGTAACCAAATTTTCTGAAAGGTCTGCTTTTCAAAATTGTTCCATATCAAAGTCCAGTAAGGACTCCATGTTTCTTATTAAATATTCAAATAATTTAGAGGCAAAAATACACAGATGTTTGTCATAATTTGTTTTGCACTACCATCATGTGGGGACTGGGAAAGAGCAGAGAATTTAAAAGGCCAAGAAAGAAATCAGCTTCACAGACTGACCTTATCTTGGCTCTTCCCAATAGCACTTGGCTCTAATTCTTGGGTGAGTCCGTTATCCAAAGCTGGGTTTTCTCTGTGACTGGGCTGGGGAGTGTCTGCTGTTCTTTGACCACCATTGTCCTCTGGAATACTGGCAGAATCCTCCTCACTTCTGGAGGCTTGGTCTCCCTCTGTGTCATGAGGTTCTTCTTTGTCCTGAAGGTCGTCATCTTCACTACTAATTGAATTTTGACCTAAACTGTTGTCATTGTTTTCTTCATGCCCCTGCCCATCCTGGCCCCTGCCATTATCAGAGCCTTCTTTTCCATTCCCTGTTTCCTCACCTTCATTATCACCAGAGCCCTTGTCTTCATCCTCACCGGCTCCATCCCCACTAGGACTTCCATCAGAATTATCCAGTCCAGCATCTTCTCTATTGCCAGCTCCACTTCCCCCTGGTGTTACCCCTGTCTCCTCATTCCCATTTCCCTCACCTTCTCTCTGAGGTGTTACTGCACTCGTATTACCCTCATTTCTACAGAAATTCTCATTTACTTCATCCTCAGGCTCTGTACTGTTACTGCTTCCAGCTACTTGAGGAACATCTGGGACAACACTGGCATCCTCGCTCTTACTTATGTCTCCAGCATCCCCATTTTTTGAATTCTTGTCTGTATTTCCATTAATATTGTTCCCATTTGCTGCTCTATCAGTGTTGGTGACTCTTATTTGTCCCCTGATGCTATTTGCTGCGGTACTTTCTTCTTGTCTCTGTATCCCATCATGGCCATATGTTTCTGGATTTTCTGTGCCCCCATTTTGATGCTCAGTATTCCCCACTTCATTTGCTAACATAGAATTTGTGGAAGAACCTTTCTCTCCTACTTCTACCCACTCCAAGCCATTTCTCCCTTGTCTGTAGCCATTTTTAATATACTGTTGCTTTTCTCTATCACTGTCAAGTATAGGGACACTTTCTTTTGTAGTGTCGTTGACATTTACCTCATCCTGAAAAAAAGAAATAAATCAAAATAAATGGTAAATATCAGCTTGAAGTAAAGCAAGATGAGAATATGAGCATCATTTTTTTAATTAATAAACTCTAAAAACAGTTTATAGACATTTTATATCCTATACCTGTATTGGCACATTTGATTTTGCTAGAAGATTTAAATTCATAGATTTGTCAACAGGATGTCTCTCCAATGTCTTGATTTGAGGAACCTAGCAAAGTAAAATATTGTAAATTACATTCTTATTTTGTATACTTACACACACGTGCCTGTGCCCCCACCACACACACACACACACACACACACACTCACACACTTGTCCTTAAGTGATGAAGAAGAAGAAGAGATAAAACACAAAGGCTAAATAAAGTATGGTGTAAGTAGGTAGAAAAGAGAAGAGGTTTATTACAGGGCTTGTGAATTAAATGAGACATGCAAATATTTTTCACAATACTGTACCAATATTATGAAGCATTAACCAGACCTCTTAAATATATAAGGGGAACCATATATTAGATAAACAGAGAGAGAGATCTTTAATGTTTCTATGCAACAAGACTCTCTTGCCATAGCACAATACCCACCTTAAATGTAATTCTGACCAAAACCCTTAAGAGAATAGTAGGTATAATCAGAACTAGTGCAGAAGCAAACTCAAGTAAGATGCTACTTGTGCACCCTTCAGGAACACATTTGAAATAGCTGAGAAAATTCTGGACTATATAAATACCAAGTTTTTTGCTATTATAAAAAATGTATCAAGATGTTAACCATAGTACCTAGTTTATAAAACTACAAATGAAAAATAAATAAATAAAATAAAATTACAAATGGTTTAATTTTCTTTTGTATTCATCTGTATATTCCAAATTTTTTACAGTACACATATAAAAAATAGCTCTCTGAGTAAAATATTAGTTTTCTTCCAAATTGGAAAAAATCCCATTTTTCCGATTTTTCTTTACTGAAAACTCCTTGAACTATACAAGGTTTGGGGAATTTTTCTTTTTAGGATAAAATTCACAGGGCATGAAGCAAAGATGGACAAGCTCTCCTTGACTTCCAGGCATTGAACATAAATTAATCTGAATGAATTTTTAAAATAATAATCTCTCTGATGAGATGTGAGTTTTTATTTGAAGAAGGGGGAGCACAAATTTGAATTGCATATTTGGTTTTGTTGAGGTATCTTGTGAAGTCTTTCATGCAGGTGCAAAAGTTCAGACTCAGATTATCTGCATAGTCTAAGGAAGCATACATTCTTTAATGGCAGTTTAAAAGAGCCAGCAAAGTAGGCAGGTTTTCTGAGGAAGGCATACTCACTGGAATGGCCCATGCTGCCGCCCAAATGCAAAAATATATAATAATCTTCATTTTCTTTTGGTACCAATGGCTGTTTTTTTTAAAAAAAAAAAAAGTAAAAATTACTTACATAACAAAAATGATAACTTCAGCAGTGTATTATTTTGGTCTACAAGCATTTGCCATTTTCCTGGATGACAAGTATGTATAAAAATGAGAAGAAATCTATCAAGACTCAATGATCTAGAACATTCCAGAAATGATAATGATACATACAAAGGCATTATCAGGCTCAGCAATGATATAACTACCTGGGACTTTTCTGCCTATGCCGATGAAGGGACACATCCATGATTATAAAGGATATTGCAATTACTTTATCCTATTATTGCTCTTGATGGTAAAAATGTGTCTTCTGAACAGTTTCAATCAACTAGTATTTCTGCTAAGATTGTGCTTAAAAGATGGAGCATGTATCGCCTCCAACAAAATCTCTATCTTTGGACTATTCCAGGCTGTACAGGAAATAAATTACCGACAGGAGGGAGCCTAGGTTAGTGGAAAGGTCCTGGAGTTTGGATTTAGAGATCTAGGCTCAAATTCTATCTTTGGTACGTAAGTGTGATTTTGAAAAATTTAAGTAGATATATTATTAAACCCTTCTTTCCTCCAGCTAGGATTAAACAAACAAACAAACCTAGTTCAGATTATCCCAATATCTTAGCAGAAAAATCTTCTCTAAGACGCCTTCTCTGATGTTTTCAAAGGACATTTGGTGTCTCTCATCTTATATACCCAGCAACTTCTACACACCTAACTAATACCACATTGTACTGTCTTAAAATAGCTTATTCTTCTGTGCTACTAACAGTTCCTGAAAGCCAGGAGGGTGTCTTGATAACCACTGTATTCCAAAACATAGCACAAAAAAGACATTTGAGAATGCTGTTAATTAATAAATACTTACGTACAAACAAAACCTAGCACTTTTACATTTATTTTGCAATCTCTTAATAAATGTTAAAATTTATTATGTAGGACTTCTAAAATCATCATTCCTGTTGCCATTCACATTCAGAAATAATATATGTGGTATATATACACAATGGGATACTACTCAGTGATCAAAAAAGATAAATTCAGGCCATTTGCAGCAACATGGAACTGGAAGGGATTGTGCTAAGTGAATTAAGTCAGAAGGAAAAGATAAATATCAGATGATCTCACTTATATGCACGACATACAGAAAACAAACAAAGGATAAAGAAAAAGACAAAATTGGCAAGCTGACCCTAGATATGAAGCATACAGCAGGGAAGGGAAGAGCACAAGGGACTATGGTGATAGAGCATGGATGATGTGATGGTGGGAGAACCACAGGGATTATACATGAGGGGAGAAATCAAATACTATCCAAAATTTAACAACAATGTCAGAAAATAAATCTAAAAATAAAATGAAGCTAAGAAAAATAATTAATAGAGTCCATGTGAAAAAATATTAATTCCTATTTATTGATTTCATCATGTTATGATATTATCGCTAGAAAAAGGAAGAGTTTTACTCCTGGTTCATGAATTCCCAAGGGGTTGATAGATTATAATACTGCAAAATAGCCTTGATTGAATTTAATGTTGGTATAGGAAGCACAATTAAACCTCAGTAAATATTAACTACCATAAGATAATGACATTTCCTCACAGAAGAGATGCCATAGTTCTAGAGCTACTGAGAAGGCAGAAGGTACTCTTTTAGCCATTCAGCAGAATGCCAAGAATGGCTAGACTGCCTTCGAAAGAACCATCAATTAAAACGAGACTGAAGTGACCTCTGCACAAATGTAAGGCAGGACAATGGGGTGCAAAAGTTGAAGGGCAGCTGTTTGATAAGCAGAGTTTATATTATACTTTGCAGCCTCAAACCTAACCATTTCAGAGACTCAGCAGAATGTGGTCTACTCTGTGATTTGTAGGAGCCATGGTGTCCTAGAAAAGTACCTATGTTAAAAGCCAAGGTTATGGGCCTCCCTGGTGGCGCAGCAGGTTGAGCGTTGAGCTGCGAAGCTATCTACACCCTCTGCAGCGCTGGTTCAATCAATTCCTGACCAGCCAGGGAGATTCCCACATGGCGTGGCAGACCTCTCCTGTCGCGCCCACGGCTCCTCTCAGCAGTGTATTTCAGTTGTCTGCCTGTTCTGTTCCCCGCTCTGTCTCTGGTGAATCCTCTCACCCTCCCGCGCCTCCAGCTCTTGTATAAAAATAAATAAATCTTTTTTAAAAAGCCAAGTTTATATGCATCCCATTTTTAGACTGCAGTCCTGCAGTCTGACCACTTTAACTCTCTTCCTGGCCCACTCCTGACCCCCACTGCACAACACCTGAGGAAACTTGCTACCATTTGCAAAGGGAGATTCAGAGCTCAACAGACTGCTACAGAGATGGCTTCAATTTTTTCAGCCCAGAAATGGAGGCTTCAGAACTATGTGAACTCCCTTCAGATTATTTCTTATCACAAAGGAAATGAGATTTAGCAATTGCCTAATTAATTTGGACAAGTGAAGAATAAAATTGAAAAAAACAAAGCCAATCAAAGCTCTCTTTGAAAGCCCATGCTGAATCCTTTAAAAATCGGAGTTTTCTAATTTTTTAATCAAAACTAAACAAAGTAATCAGATAATTATCAAATTTCCATCTCAGCTTGCCAATTTTTTCGTAGCAAGTCTCTCTTTTCCTGCACCTACCATGGTATTGTAAAATAGGAAGGGACAGTGACAGAATCTCTGGATATCTTAAGTAGACGGTTTTAATCTAACTTTCAAAACCTTAATGTCAATTGGCAAAAATATTATTTTTTAAGCCAAAGGTTGATTTTTCAAGACCAAGAAATTAATGCAACTGGGATTCATTCACTTATTCATTCATTCAATGAACATTTGAAGGCTTAAGATAAGCCAGACCCTGAGCCTAGGGAACAGAAATGAGCTTTATCCCCATGGAGACTATCACTGAGTAGATAAGTCAGAATTTGAAGTAAAAGTAATAGTGTTATATCAAATATTCAACCCATGTATATTTCTTTTTTTAAAATATTTATTTATTTATTTGTACAAGATCCGGGGTACAGACAAGTGTGTGAGAGGGTGAGAGAATTCACCAGAGACAGAGCGACAACCCATGTATATTTCTTAATAAATTCAGTGCTTAAAGGTAATTATTGCTATATTTGAGAGAAGGTAAGATTGTTTCTTTCCTTTTTCATTAAATCATTTCATTTTTATCCCATTTTATTTTGCAATGGTAAAGCTAAAAAATGGCTTTAAATAGGGTCTCCCTGTTGGTGCAAGGGGTTAAGTCTTAGCACTATCAAGCTATCTTGAGCCACTGCATCATGAGTTCAATCCCCAGCCAGGGAGCTAGCCACGTGGCGCAGCAGACCTCTCTTGTCTCACAGGCTTCTCCCCTCAGCAGCTATTTCAGTAGATATGCCTGTTCTGCTCCCCACTCTGCCTCTGGTGAATCCACTCAACCTCTACACCTCTGGCCTACAACCCCATTCTTGTATGTATAAATAAATAAAAATAAATCTTAAAAAAAATGACTTTAAATAGATTCTAGAGTCTTAAATGTTTTTTCTGGAAAAAAATAGTGAAGGCACTTTAATGAATTATTTATAAAATAGTCAAGAGATTCATTCTGTTGTTACAATTCTAAAACAAGAAATAAAATATTTGCTTTATCTTACATATACTTTTTCTGACCATTGGCAACCGATATTTTAACATATTGCCTGTGTTGGGGCCTCCCTGGTGGCACAAGGGGTTAAGATACAACCTATGAAGCTATCCGCAGCCTATACTGCACAAGTTTGATCCTGGGGCTGGCCAGGGAGCAACCACATGGCGCATCAGACCTCTCCTGGCTGGCCTGCTGCTCCCCTCAGCAGTATACTCTGTCAATCTGCCTGTTCTGTTCCCCACTCTGTCTCTGGTGAATCCTCTCACCCCCCACACCTCTGGCCTATACCCCAGCTCTTGCATGCATAAATAAATAAATCTTTTTTAAAAATTTTTAAAAAATATATTGCCTATGTTATAAAATTTATTTCTTCACTGATGCAATATTTTGCTAGATGGAATGAGCATTTCTTACTACATAATTTCCCATTATCTTTTTATACGTGATTTGACAAGTCAAATGGGAAAAAAACTCAGTTATCAAGAGTTAATTCACTTTTTAAAGTCTAGTCGACTTCTCTGAAATTCAAATTGCTTTATAAATGAATCACTTGGTTCTGAGTACTGAGGATGTTCTATCTTACCTTAGAAGACTTCAAAGGGACTTTGAAAATCCAGGATTTCTTGTTTTTCTTTTTGAAGACAGAGTGGTACACTGTCCTGGACTTTTGCATGACAATTTTGTACCTGCTGAAATTTAAACTCAGTTTGATAATTTTCTCAACCAATCACTGTTTCGGATCCCTGATATGGGGTTATAAAGTGTCACTATGAAGCACATAATAACTTCCCTCACTTCCTTTGCTTGCTGATATGCATTTGCTCACTGAACCATCCAGTTCCAAAGGGATGAGACTTACTTTCACTTAATTAAATACCTCCTGGGAGGCTGTTTTGCATCTTAAGTATAGAGAATCAGTGTAATGTATCTGAAAAGAGCCACTTAAACTCTGTCACCCTGACATTTCTTGACTTACTAAGGTTGGCAATCTAAGAAAACTCTAGGTTTCTTTAGTAAATATGACTGCCTATTTAAGACCCCTATCATTCTTAAAGTAGGTATTAAAGTGTCTGTGCTATAATTCAAGAAACTGTCCACATGCAGTAGCCTTGACATTGCCTTAACAATCTGTAAATAGTAACTCCTTTGAAATCTCTCTGACTTAGTGATGTGAAATTTAAAAATGGATCAATTCAGTATTTATTATGAAGTAAAATTTTTAAATTGGATATTCAAAATATTAAAATTGATTTTAAAGTAGCTAGATGTGCAAAGGTAGGTATGAACAATAGATTTCCATCTCAGTTATCCAGTTATTTGTGGCAGCAGTAGAGGACA